TCCTTAGAAGATTTTCCTATCTTAAGAATTCCAAATCCTCTACTCCTCCTCCCCATACTCTTTGACAAAATATCATAGACGTCCTCAGGTTATTTGATCCGAATTATTTGCAAATGGTTTTTATTTCATTGAGTACTCTTTAACACGGTCATTTACCTTCGTTTTAGTTTCAAGTATTTTGGGACGTGTTGCTCTGTGTGTGTGTCAGCGTGTGTGGATATTTTTCTCTTCTTTTAATTCTATTGAAAATTAAATCCAATTAAAAATTCCCTTTTCAACTCAACCATCTCAAAAACATACATCCTGGTTACAGGATTCACTTTTCACAAGTCAAATGGAATCAAATGGGGAATTCGTGTATGTGTGTGAGTGCGCAGGTTTTTTCTTTCTTGTGTTCTGCAAGGATATCCTTACATGTGCCAGACTCCCCATGTGACTGACTAAGTCTCTGCTTGTCCCTTTTTAGTTTTTTTCGAAGTTGTTGTTGTTGTTTTTGATGAGGACGGTGATGATGATGACTACGACGATGTTGTTGTTGTCATTAACAATGTCGTCGCCTTCTTCATTCTCGGTTGATTTTTCTTGTAAATCCTCCGTAGATCCTTGTTGCTTCTTAGCTTAGTTAGGAGTTGTAGTAATAGTCTACACAGGTTTCACTGATATGTGACGATATCCTGCTCCTCAACACATCCGCATACCTCTGTCTGCATACGTGTGGTTGTGGGCGTCCGTCTGCACATGTTTCCACTTGAAAGAAATTTAATTTTGTTAATGAGTCCTGCTTTCTAAAAACTTTATTCTTCGGCTATGTGACGAAAGTTTCTTTGGCTCGATGTTTTCGTTTTTTTTTTTTATTTTTTTCCTGATGTAAGTAATGTGGGATCTTCTTGTAGCAGTTATGTTAGCAAACTATGACGAGTTTGGGATATTTGACATGTTTAACTCTTTTCTTTCGAATATTTGTCTGAAAGGGTATGTCTTTTTTTATACAGGTAGCTAATTAAATTGTCATCCGTTAATTCCTGTTCCATAATATATTCGCTATATGACAATAACGATAATGAGACTAATGATGGCATCTTTGTGTTGATGGGTTGACGTCAAGGACCGTCGACGATAGTTGTTGAGGCTTTGGGGGGTTTGAGGCGCACAGTAGGTATTTGAGGATAAGGCTTCTAGGAAACTTATCTAATAGTCTGTAGGAAAAAATGAGAAAAGTTTTAAAAACGGGACCAGTATTACGGATTTGACCGAAATTTTTACCCCAGGGTAGGTAAGCTCCTCACAAAAATATATATGAAGAGATGCCATACCCTCCACCAAATTTCATTAGTTGCCATTGGCACCTCACTCGTCTATTCCGTTACTGCACTCAGACGTTTTCAATGCACTCTGGAACTCTTGTGCCAAATTTCCGATTAATATTGCCCGAAGCAACCGGTTAGGTGAGCGTGCGATTATACATACGCAAAGCTTATACAATTGCTGGCGTGACAAGGCACTGAGACCCATCCTCTTCAATGACATCCTGAATATTTAACTTTCTTGAGATTTTAGGGAGGTTTCTAGGTTCTATTTTCGAAGTAGAATGAACGTATTCCTCAGAGTTATGTTACGTTGAACTACCATCCTCTGCGTTAGGGACTCTTTAAATCTCTATAGCAGCTCTGAGTCGGAACGGCTGGAAAAACGTTTCATATTGATGTTGAGGAGCTTCTTTGGTCTAGGCAAGGGGATCCCTGTTAAAGCAAAAGTCGTCAATCAGAAGTTATATAGAAGACAATCCGAGCTTTTTTAACTCGATAGATGTTCTCGAGATTTTCCGTACCAGTGTTGAGAAGCTACGGACTTTCTCACTGGTGTTGAGAGTTCATGTGGCTGTTCGAACCGGTGCTGAGGAGCATTTAAGAGGTTCGGACAGTTATTTAGGATACATTAGAGGTCAAAACCGGTGTAGACGTGCTATATAGACGTCCGAGTAGGTATTAGGGAGCTTTATAGAGACACGTGTTGTTTGTGTAGAGTTTCTCACTGGTGTTGAGAGTGCCGGTAGCAATGCCGATTTGGATCTCACATGAACACCAACACGAACAATTTGGACCTCACCCGGTGTTTATGTTAGGTCCAAATCGGCAATGACGACCTTTATTGATACTCGAGTCAATTTTAAGGTGTTATATAGATGCCGATGAAGTCTATAGAATTTCTAAGCAATCTTGAATAGCTGTAGAAAGATTCTCACTAGTGTTGAGAGTTCTTGCAACTGTTCGAAGCGGTGTTTGGGAACTCCTTAGTGATTCGATATGATAATGGACAGTTCGAGCCATTTTTGAGGATTTGTATAGAGGTCTATCGGACCTTAATGAGCTCTATAAATGTTCTCGATAAATTTTCGAAGCGATATTGATGAGGTCCGAATCAGGTAGGGGTAGCTTTATAGAGTGTATTGAGAATTCTTAGTTGATCGGCTGGTATTGGAGAGCTTTGTAGAGGCATGATCCGTTATAGAGGAATTCAATAGAGTCTGAAACGCCCTGGAAAAGCTCTATAGAAGTTCCCGAGATTTTTAAGTGCTAATGAGGACGTCCGAACCAGTCTTGAAGATCATTATGGTGTTTTTCGCTGTTGCTCTTATGGAATTTTTAGAAGTTCGAACTGGTGTTGAGGTTTTGGGGAGCTATGTAGAGGCCGATCCGAGCTTTATTAGCTCTATGTAAGTTCTCCGGATTTTTGAAGCGATATTGAGAATATTCGAACGCATTTTGCAGAGCTGCATAGAGTTTATCTCTGAGTTCTTCAACGGGTGTTGGGGAGATCTATAAAAGCATGATGAGTTTTTGAAGGAGTCACTCTTATGCCCATCCGACCTTTTTAAGCTCCATAGAAGTTCTCGTGATTTCCGAAGAGGTATTGAGGAGATCCGAAATGATGTTGAGTGGATTCTAAAAAAGTCTTAAACGGTGTTTAGGAGCTCTAAAGTGACAAGTGTTGTTGTTAAGTCTGAAACTTCCTGCAAAATCTCTATAGACGTTCCCGAGATTTTTGAAGTGCTAATGGGGAAGTCCGACGCAGTCTTGAAGATCATTATGGAGTTTCTCGTTGTTGCTATTAAGGAACTTTTAGAAGTTTGAACTGGTGTTGAGTCTATAACCGCAAGAAGTTTTGACGAGCTATGTAGAGGCCGATCCGAGCTTGATTAGCTCTACGGAAGTTCTCGAGATTTTCGAAGCGGTATTGAAAATATTCGAATGCATGTTGTAGAGCTGCATAGGGTTTGTCTCTGGGTTCTTCAACCGGTGAGGTGGAGATTTATTGAGACACGATGGGTTTTTAAGGAGACATACATATGCCTATCCGACTTTGATAAGCTCCATAGAAGTTCCCGTGATTTCCGAAGAGGTATTGAGGAGATCCGAAATTATGTTGAGTGGGCTCTACAAAAGTCTTAAATGGTTTTTAGGAGCTCTAAAACGACAAGAGTTGTTATTGAGGTGTTAGGCCGGTTCGAGCTCGATCAGCTCTATAGAATTTTGACTTAATGATGAGGAGCCCTATGTATGCACAAGATGTGCTTAATTCCTAAGCGGTGTGGAGGAGATATGTATTAGTACGAATTAGTTCTGAGGTGTCTATAGATATTCGGACAACTTGAATTAAGTGGGAAAAAACTCTATAGAGTTTCGATTAAGAAGTGAAGATAGCCCCAAAGGTTGGACTAGATCAAGAAGAGCTCATTTGAGGTCGGAAGATAACTCTAGATGGAGTACGTGTTTGATAGTTAGGATATCAGAGTACGTGGTGAGGATTTAAGAATAGATTTACTATGGTCCAATTCCTGTTGTCAGCCTAGAAATATACACATATAAGTCCTGGAAAAGTCATACGCTGAGGGTGTATATTTTTGGACAAGACCGATTTTTAGGTTCTAAATAAGTTTAGTACATTTTTTTTGCAGAGTTAGTAGTCTATGCTATAAGGACTGTAGAGGTCTGATAAGGTTGTGAGAAACTCTCTAGAGGTCAAAATAGAGTTTTTGGGTCTAAATAAGTTTCTTAAGTGTCAAGTGAATGGTGAGAGGCTCTGTGGAGGTCCTATAAGGCAATGAAGGGGTTAGTAGACTTGATCATTGTAAATTTCGTCTTCAATAGAAATATTGATGAGTTCTGTAGGAGATTCCAAAAATCTGATAGTAAGAAAATCTTTAGGACTCTGATTGAATCGTGAGCAGCTCAGTGGAGGTCCGATTAGTTGTTGAAGGGGTTAGAATAGGTAACAGCAAGATCTACAAAGGTGCACTTAGTGTTGTTCTTGGCCAGAAAAAAAATATAATAGCCCTCGGATATATGTTACAGAGGACCTGATGTCTGATTAAAAAAAATATAGATTGGAGCTTTACAGTACTTATTGGGTGGTTAGGAGCACTGCTGTTATGTAGTGCTAAGCTTCTATCCCAAATTCTGCATATATAATATGAAGTTCTTTAGAGGTTTGATTGAGTGTGATTGAATGATTGGTGTAAAGCTCTGCGGAGGTCCACATAGGAATAGGTAAGGAAACGATCGACAAAGTCCACTTTCGATTATGTCAGGAACTAACTAACATTTTTATTATTTTTTTTAAACAATGGCCACAATTTTCCTCCTCCAAACCAATGTTTTACTAAAACAATCTTTTAACTTCTTTTGCCAACTGTCTTTCAGATGACAGTTACTACTTAGCCCCGTTAAGTTCCGCATTTCCTGTTTCTTTGTTGCAGACTTTTTTATTTGTCTTTGGCTTCATTTATACCTCACTTCTTCTTCTTCTTCTATTTTTTCTTTAGCTTTATTTAAGTGCAAACATTTCCTTATAGTTAATTTCTTGTTTTTTAATTATTTTGAAGTTTTTCTCCAGTCGTTTTTTGCTGTTGTTGTTGTTCGCTAACCTGCATGGTCGTTATGTGCATTCAACCGGTTATACTTTTCGCTTACATTCCTTATTTTTTTCGTCTTCTCTTGCAGTGAATCGCTGAGCGTGCAATGTTTCCACTGGGTCCTGACACGTATGCAACATCATATGGACATGATTGTCAGCGACAAGAAACAAGCTCGTCCCTGGGCCAAACGTTTACATGTTGCACTACAGGTAAGTACTTGAAGTTAAAAGAGAGCACGTACAATGTGAAAGATGCTTCTGTGTGAGGTGATTACATTCATTACTAAGCGTATGTCCTTTGCAGGGTAACGTGGTAGAAGTTGCAAACAGAACAAAATGTTAAATAAAAAATGCAATTCGTTGTTATGACATTTTTAATTTTATTTTTGATGTTAGATTATCTGAGATTGAGGTGATTGGAAACCCAAAGGAATGATTATTTTTTTTCAATCGAAAAAATCACAGCTAGTTTCTTCTACAGAAAAAAATCGCAGGCCACCAGGACTGCTGGATTTTTCTATAGAAAAAATTCGCAGGCCACCAGGAATGCTAGTTTTTTCTATATAGAAAAAAAACGCAGGCCACCAGGACTGCTAGTTTTTTCTATAGAAAAAATTCGCAGGCCACCAGGACTGCTAGTTTTTTCTTTAGAAATAATTCGCAGGCCACCAGGACTGCTAGTTTTTTTTTTCTATAGAAAAAATTTGCAGACCACCAGGACTGCTAGTTTTTTCTATATAGAACACATTCGCAGACCACCAGGACTGCTAGTTTTTTCTATATAGAAAAAATTCGCAGACCACCAGGACTGCTAGTTTTTTCTATATAGAAAAAATTCGCAGACCACCAGGACTGCTAGTTTTTTCTATATAGAAAAAATTTGCAGACCACAAGGACTGCTAGTTTTTTCTATATAGAAAAAATTCGCAGACCACCAGGACTGCTAGTTTTTTCTATATAGAAAAAATTCGCAGACCACCAGGACTGCTAGTTTTTTCTATATAGAAAAAATTCGCAGACCACCAGGACTGCTAGTTTTTTCTATATAGAAAAAATTCGCAGACCACCAGGACTGCTAGTTTTTTCTATATAGAAAAAATTCGCAGACCACCAGGACTGCTAGTTTTTTCTATATAGAAAAAAATTGCAGACCACAAGGACTGCTAGTTTTTTCTATATAGAAAAAATTCGCAGCCCACCAGGACTGCTAGTTTTTTCTATATAGAAAAAAATTCGCCGATTACCAAGGCATACATTTTTTCTATATGCCACTAGAGACTGAGGCTTTTTCGTTAGAAACATTTTTAGGCTGAGGTTTTTTCTAAGAAAATATTTTCAGGTCCCCAGCACTCATGGTTTATTCTTCAGGAAAAAAATTCCAGTCCACAGGTCTGACAGGATTAAGGTTTTTAGAACTTCCATTGTTTAGTTGAACGTCCGTTCATTTTTTATTTTTTCGAACTTTCGAACTCGAATACATGCTTAGTATGTCCTCCCGAACTACTGGCATATGAGGGAGAGAATTTCACATGTTCAGCAATATTTTTGTTTTGTTTTATTAGTCCCACGAAATGTGAACGGCGGATGGAGCAAACTTTCGTTTTCGGAGGAAACACAACATGTGCCCCGAATTGCAGAGCCGGAGTGTGTGTTCATGTTGAAACCGTAACAACTGTTTCAAACGGTAACGGAAGTACAGACCGAACTGAACCAAACCAAACCGAAAAAAAAAACAAAAGTCAAAGTCACGTGTTGCATGCTACATGGAATGCTACATAACATCAGGGTATGACAGTATTCCAAACTAATTCCAAGAAGAGGGAGTATAGGTGGGAAGTTAGCTATTTTAGGAAATGGGTGTAGAAGCATAACTGAGCTCTCTCCCTCTCCCGTTCTCCGTTTTTTCTTTTTTTTTGGTTTGCGTAGCGTATTACATGGATAGCTGATGTTTTTACACTTCATTGCTTTTACGTGTTGCTGCAACAAGTGTGTTGTGAGCAGCATCGTCATCAAAGTCCTAGGAACCGGAGAGCAATGCAGCTTAAATAGAAATGAAAAAAATGAAAATAAAATACTGAAAAAAAAATTGCTGTTCCCAGAAGAACTCCACACAAAAGAACACGAAATACCGTCAAGAGATTTCAGCTTGTATAAAAATTAATCATGTTCAAACATGCACGTAAGACTTGCAAAAAAACATACTATATATAACAACATTTGATGGAATTCAACTCCAACTACAAACGCTTGTAACAACAAAAGCTTAACCGGGGGAAAACAAGCAACAACACGTTTCCCGTTGCTGCTACTGGCTGATGTGCAACATTTTTATCGAAACTGAAAACTGACATCAGTCATTTGCTGATGAATGAACAATAACAACAACAGCATCAGCACCAGCCGTCAACTGTTGTAATTCTTGTTTGCAAAACAAGTGACCTGATTTCATTCGGGCGTATTTAAAATATCACGTTTTTTGTGTTTCTTATTAAAAAAAGAAGAAAATTACTTTCGAATCGAAAGTGAAAATAAAAGTGGAAGATTTTTGAGGATAAAAACGAGTTTTCTTTAAATGATAGAATATAGAAAGGTTTTTATTGAAAGAAATCGGTCTTAACTAATTACCAACAACATGGTCTGTTCGAAAAATCAATCAAAAAAATATGTTGTCTGTAGCCATATCGACGCCTCCGAAGAATAGTATGCTAAGTCTGAAAAGTGGGTTTTTCAGGAGAAGCTCTCAAAGTTTACGGGCGTTATCTCGGGAGCGATGTGAGATAGCAGATTATAGCTAAAAACGACTCAGAATACTTTAGCATGGACAAATATTTCATAAGAAGTCGGCTAAGTCGACTTAGCATGTTTTGTTCCGGACCTTTCTACTCTGATTAGTCGTCTAAGTATACATAGCATGTTCTGGTTTGGATCAAAATGGTGATACATTTTATTGTCATTATACTTAGACGAACTAAGATTATAATAGATAATTAAAACAAGTGAAAAAGCGTTTAGTTCGGCCGGGCCGAACTTTGGATATCCTCCACCATAGATGTACTGACAGGTACTTGAAATGAAAATATTGGGAAAATATCAAAAAGTGGACTTATACCGACATTTCTACAAACCGATTATGTAAACCATAATACAAATTTCAGAAATTTTTAATGAATAATTATACCCTCAACCTCATGGTTGATACGGGTATACACTTTGACACGGTGAAAATGTGCCTCATGGAAATATTGGTTCTAGACTCCATGTTTTTTTGGATCAAATTTGTTTCAGAAAATTTTGATTTCATCCAAACTTTGATCATCTTATTATTTCTTCCAAACTTAGTTCAAGTTTGAAGAAAGAGAATAACGGTCCACTCCTTCTGGTACCTCCCACTCAGCGGCTAGGCCTAAATGCGGGTTATATTCATTATCGAACCTTACGTTCTAGCTTTTTCTCTCAACATCCTCCGCAGTTGAAATTAGATCCAAACCAAAACGCGGAAAAAATTATATAACTATTTTACTGTAAACCAGTAAGGAAAGCAATAAAGTCGGACGGGCCGACTTCGTGCAAATCGAAAGATATATAGGTATTTTGGTGTGCCATTTACATAACATCGGACCAAACTATATATGGGAGCTGTATCTAAATCTGGAAAGATTTTCACGAAACTTGGCATATATGACACTAGACTCAATTCAGTACGGTATGCCAAATTTCGTGCAAATCGAAAGATATATAGGGACTTTGGTGTATCATTCGGACGAAAATATATATGGGAGCTATATGTAAATCTTAATCGATTTTTCCCAATTTCAATAGGATTCGTCCTCGGGCCAAATAAATGAGCTGTGCCAAATTTCATCCAAATCGAATTATAAATGCGACCTGTACTTTATTTAAAATTGAACAACAACAGACGGAGGACAGATGGACTGACGGACGGACATGCATAAATCGACTCAGAAAGTGATTCTATGCATTTAAATTAAGGACGGTAGAATCTAAAAACGTAAAGAACTTTAAAACATGCTAAGTCGACTTAGCATACTATGGGTCGGAGGCGTCGATATAGAGACTCCTTTATTATTGTACTTTTTATACCCTACACAACTATTTTGTCAGGGTATTATAGCTTTGTGCAGCCCCAAAAGTTTGAAACGCCGCGAAATATTGGTTCTAGACCCACCTTTAAGTATACCGATCGTCATATATCGACTAGCTGAGTCAATCTAGACATGTGTGTCCGTCCGTCTGTCCATTATAATTTGTAAACACGATACAGGCCATAGTTATGGACCAATCTTCACGAAATTTTGCATGTAGATCGGATAATATATAGGGGATGAAATGGACCAAATACTTAATTTCTGCCGGTTTTTCTGGTCGCCCCCAGAGACCACAATTACGGCCCAAACATCTCGAATTTTTACATGAAGAAGGGAATCGGGCCAAAGAATAAACATGCCAGTTTGGATAAAGATCGGTCTATATATAGCGGATCCAATGGACCCTGACTTTTATGTGAAAAATTATCAAATTTGTGTTCTACAACGTATAGATTTACCCCTGAAGGACATAGACCCGAGATGTTGAGAGTATATCCAAGACGAGTGGTTGTCCTTTAAATTGATACTAATTATATGGTCGTATGCACTCGGATATGGGAGTTACACTTAAAAATTTACTGGTGCATAAGTACTGAGATAGTATTTGAAAAACCCATTACCACACTAAGGGGCGAAAATATAGCGCTGATCGCTTTGAAATTTTCCAGGTACGATGAAGGACAAGCCTATAAGTTTCGGTCATTTTCAGATAATAATTTTGGAATGAAATGGACCAAAAACTTAATTTTTGTGTGTGTGTTTTTTTGCGTCGATCTAAAGACCACAATTATAAGCTGAACATCACAACACAGCCCGCGGAGAAGGTAATCTGGACAAGTAATTAGTACTGAATATTAGTAATATTCGGAATATATGTTAGTGTAAGGAAGAGGTGCTGTTGACATCTAATCGGGCAAGAGGGTGCAAATATTACAAAATATTGCCCAAGCTCAGAATAAACATCCGCGAAAGTTAGAGTTCCGTGGAAGTTGTGTAGAGTATCGTATGGTCGGCCCCGTCCGACTATACTGCTGCGCTCACTGGTTTTTTATATATAATCTTTTGTACGAGGACATACTTTTTAACACAGAAAATTTTTTTGTC